GTGCGCTGTCCCAACGTCCCACCATTTATATATATATGCCTCAAGCTAAATGAGCTGCTTGCATTAACAAAAGATGTAGTTATGAGAACGGAAGCCACTCCAGCTTTAACTCAGTAACAACATCCGAGAATCGAAGGACGAAAAAGGACCCAAGTCGTTTCGTGGTCTACTTCGACTAATCCTTCACTTCAGTGGGGTCACTTGTTGCATATAAGAAATAATGGGGTGAAAATCACCTTAAACATTTGGCAATACCTAAACTGGTATTTAGAGAAACATCCTGAAGCTAACCAAGATCCTCAAAAAAGAAAGCCTCTACTATAAGTAATCGACGGTGCGCATACCTTAAACAGTAACAATGTAGATGTGAATTTGTTTGTAGTAACACAGTAGCAAATAGTTTCTAATCCTATAGCTGCTAATTATAAATAGCATAAACGAAAATGTTGGCCATAGACTGAAAAAATTTCAGATATGTGTTTGCCAGACTGTGGATTACAATACAATCCTTGGAAATCTTAACAAGAACAAAGTTAAAAATATGCAAAACTTATATCAAATATACCGCGCTGTATATAAAACTAATTCCGGTGCTAAAAGTGCGGTGAAGCCCCATGCTCCCCTGGTTAATTAACAATAGAAATACTGAAGTAAAAATACTAAAGTGTGTTTTAAATTAAAGAGCATTCATTCTGTGAAGAGAATTTTTTTTAAATTGAAATCTTTTTATCTCAATAAAATTCGTCCAACATTTGTTATAATATTTTAATCCCTTCCGAACAAAACTTTTAAATATATTTATAAAGTAGCAATTCTGCTTTTTCAAGCATAAAATATACGGTGGGGACTATACGTGATTCTTATTAACGTATTAAAGAAAATCACACAATTCATAATCTAATCTATGAAGTTTACTTATGTCAGAACCTCCTTCCAAATGATGCCAATATTGAACTATTGGAGAACATATAAGTAATGGAATACTTTTGTATTTCTAACTGAACCGAAACTAAACTATTTAAACTATAGCTATGATTTGCCTATGGTATCTACATTATTACACTTTTTGAATCTATGGTGGCCAATATCATATTAGAGACTTCTTCAACTTTTTAGCAAGCATTGTATTCTATTGAATATATTGATTCTCTATCAATATAGAACCCTATCGATAGTGTTTGAACTGCAATAAGCTTTAATAAAAATTTATTAAATCTTCTCCAGCAATAATGAAGATTTTTGTTACATTTATTAAAGCTTTTTTAGTTTATGTTTCGATTTCACTATTCAAGACCCAACCTACCATCTCTCATGTTAAAAACATGATAACATTTACTCAATTTTAAATTGCGCTTTGATCATTATCAAAACATTTTCTATATCTTATATATCTTGTAATAGTAATCCTCAAGTATTTGTCATATGTGAAAACAAGTAAAAAAATGTATTTATCTTCGATTTAACGAGTATATTAGATTATCTGTACAGTGTAAAGTTCATATTGCTAATATAAATTTTAAGATATTCTATACCAAAGTTTAGTACTTTATATTTTTATTAGTTATTTATTACAAACCTCCTACATATGTTTTTCAATTGAGTAAAGCTTTAACCGCAAACTTAATTATCTTTATTCACAATTTATTGTTAATTTTTATGGACATTATAAAATTTCAATATTAATAATTGAACTTGTTAAATTGCAAATTCAAATCAAAATATTCTAATAAATAGTATAATTAAATAATTTTTGAGCGGTTTTGTGATAAAATTCGCTGATCCATAAAAAATTTTCTTTTTGTCAAAATTAAGTACAATACTCGGAACCGCCAGGACAAGGCTTTATTTCAGGCCTGTAGTCTTGTAGAGTCTTATATATTATACATGATGAAGCCAAGTCCCACTACAACGCTAGTTCGCTCGGCCATAAAGTTTGATGGTTTTTTGAGATTATTAGCTTATTAAACTTCGATGAAAAGAATTAGTTGCTTTATATCTTAGACTTGTTGTGTTTTTATCCTAGAGTTAGTGTCTGATCCATTTTTAATTTCTTATGATTATTTAAACAGTTTTCTAGTGAAAAATTTGAATTAATACTTTTTTGAGCGAAATTATTACTATTAGTTCAGTTAATGAACTACTTGTATTGATTGAACTGCTATAAACTTTATTAGTAGAAATTATTTCATTCCTTAATAAATAAAATCATAACAGCTAGAAATCAGGCGTTTAACTAGTATAAACTATGTTTTGAATCTAATACAGTAGCTGTTTAAAATCTTTATAAATGAAATTAATGTAGCTAAAAGTCAGCCAATGAACTAGTATAAACTATGTTGATAATCTACGTCAGTGGCGCTTTTAAGTGAAAGAAATAATTTAGTTATTTTGCATCTTAACAAATAGAACGATTGCTAA